AGATCTGTTCTTAGTACTTCTTACACAGATCTGAATAACTTAACAGTTTAAATTTTCAATTTTCATATGAATATGAATTAGAAAGTCTAACTTCAAAGTTCTGTTTTTTTCTGATTTTCGTATTCTGTTTCTGAAGTGACTTGGGATTGGTCTGTTGAGAACTGGTTTCAAGTGTTGTGTGAGCCTTTGTGAATGTCTGTGAAAGTATTGACTCTATTGAGCCGTCAAGTTGTGAATAGTGAAAGACAGTAAGCTGTGGTTAGTACTGCCTATTACTAAGGGTTTTTTTTTTTTTCTTTCTTTTTTTTTCTTTTTTTTTTTCGGTCCAGACATTTTTGTGTCTGGTGTACCGGTCCGGACGGTCCGGGTCCGGTCCTGTCCGGTTGTCCAGTGCCTGTCCGGATTACCGGACGTCTGGACCAGTCCAGACAAATGTCTGGGCCTCGGTCCAGACATGTCCGGGTCCGGGTTGGTTGTCAATTCTCTCTTTTACATGATGATTTCATTGAATCACGAAGTCTATGTATTTGTTGTTAACTTAATTGAATTAATTCATTCTGATTTGATTTCATTCTTTGTGAATTTCAGCAGATCTCAAAGAGCGCAGTCAGAATCCGCCGGAAAAAAAAAAAAGCCATTTTGCCAATTTGGGCTTTCTTTTTCACCGGTTCTCCGGCTCACCCCCCCCGGGCCGGTCTGGCCCCGGTTGGACCGGGGAGCTGAACGGGTCGGTTGCCGGACCAGCCTTGGAGTCAATCCCAACTTAAAATAAAAAGACTCGACACCAACCATTGCTGATACAATAGAGAACATTCTGCCATGCATGGAGGACAGCATGAGGCCAAAAAACGGCTAAATGAATGTTAAACATAGTAACATACAAGTTTTCAAGTTTACAACTGTTGATTGATTGATCAACAGAATACACGTTCAAATCCTGCCAAAAGCGGTGGGGTATACCAAGAAAATAGGGGATAGCTGATATACCAAACATTAGGGGCTACTACCCCCTTTCAAGACAAAGAACAGCAGCCGGAATGAACTACGTGAGGAGGGAGAGAGAGCGCAGATGTTAGAAATACGCAATAAAAGGGAGGAGGCAGCAAACTGCAAGGGAAAAATAAAGGGGGGGAGGGAGGAGGGGGAGAGACCACACACATTGGTGATGGAAACACTGAGTGTTAGCAGCTGCGCAGTACGAGCATGCAGATTGCGATCTTCCTCCAGCCGCTCATCGAGCTCTTCGGACAACTCTTTAAGCCAAGAACCAACCTGCACAAATGAGGTCTTGTCACTTCGCTTGCCTATTATTAAAGTTTATAACTTATATATACAAAGTTGACGCGGGCCTCAGAAAACGCAACACCGCTGGGACACCCTGGGCCCAGCGGGGAGCGTCTTCCAATACCCGCTGCACAAAAATTCAGGAGTTATAGTAGATACTAGATATACCCTGTCTCTTATACACATCTAGATGTGTATAAGAGACAGGCTGCACTCCCCGTGCCCACGCGGTAGACAATTTGAGAAAAGTGGACCCACACCGTTTACATTTCGGAATGTTCAAAATTCAAGGACCTGCCTCCTCGGCCTCCTACGAGAAGCTACGGGTCCTTCGCATGCCCCGCCCCTTGCTAATCCCCGAAACCTCAAAATGCCCACCCTCCCAAACGACCAACGACGTTGAAATTTCAATGACGTTGAAATGTCTAGGGGGGGAAAATGCAACCCTGACGGGCTGCGAATAGGCCCCACCTGCCCCTTACCCGCACATTGGCTGCACCACCTCTGCTCGCTCCAAGGATCCGCCCAGGCTACAAATGGGGGTGGAGACAGGACATGGGGTCCCAAAGGACAGAATGCTTCTACGGAGGAGAACCCCAACGGACAGAATGCTTCTGCGGAGGACAACTCGCTCACTTGGAGCCCAACAAACAACAGAACAACAACGACAAAATGACAAGGATGGGTCTAAGGAGGGTCTGACCGTATGATCAGGAAAACACACGCGTTGCTACTCACGGCACGTGGAGTGAGAGGTCTGCTGGCCCGCATGAACTGGGGGTCAAACATACGAGATAGCACCAAGCCCCGACACAGTGATAAGAGGGGGAAGCTTGCTGAGTGGAAGAGAAGAAATAGAATACTACTTGGATACTGTCTTAAACACTCTTAGTAGTATCCATGGGACAAAGATGTGCCGCAACTAACCTTATGCTGTCACGTAGGCCACTAATCCCAGGCCACTATGCACATATATCTGTCAAATTACCCCCTTTGTAGATGGGGCCTACAGACTTTAGTCAATTTAGTCACATATCTGTTCAAACAAAACAGTTGCAATGTTCACGGACGCTGGACCCGGTTTCCAGCAGGTGCAGCTCCCCACCAATAGATGGAGCCTCCCTGAGACTGCTAGTGGTGCCTGCTCTTATCAGCACCCCTAGCATCAGCTCAAGTTGTTCAAAAATTTGACAAAAAATGAAAAAAGAAAAAAAAAAGAGCTAATTTACAAGTTCCCAGGGTTGTGGGGAGGGGGAAACAGCTCTGCACTCTTGTCCTTCTTCCCGAGGCAGTTTTTTTTTGTTTTTTTTTTTGCAGATTCAATTTCAATGCCCATGCTTGCAGCTCCTCACCAATAGATGGAGCCTCCCTGAGACTGCTAGTGGTGCCTGCTCTTATCAGCACCCCTAGCATCAGCTCAAGTTGTTCAAAAAAAGAAAAAAAGAAAAAAAAAAGAAAAAAAAAAGAGCTAATTTACAAGTTCCCAGGGTTGTGGGGAGGGGGAAACAGCTCTGCACTCTTGTCCTTCTTCCCGAGGGTCAAGTGCCCAGGCAGTTTTTTTTTTTTTTTTTTTTTTGCAGATTCAATTTCAATGCCCATGCGTCCGACCCTGTTTACTGAACAGCACCTGCAATGGTAAAGTCGTCTGCGTCTCAGCAGCAGCTGTAGGGGTTCGCTGTCTCTTATTAGCTGCCAACACAGACCCCTTGGACTTGGATCGACCTTTCCCCTGGCAAGGCTTCCCATGCAAATTCAATCCGGAATCGGCATTTCTATTCAGCTTAGGCAACCTAAGGCCAAGCGTTCGGCACAGTTCATGTTGCATGTCGATCGGCAACTCCGAAAGCACACCCATGTCAATCTTGCCGCGCTCGTAGGGGAGCACTGTCTGTTGGTTTTCACGGGTAACGGTCCTGTCGCTGGAAGGAATCACGCATGCCGGCCCTTGCATGTCGTCAATTACAGACGACGACGGCCCTACCGCTGCCGCTGCCGAACCCGTCGAAGCTAATCGTCTGACCCTCCTGTCCAGAGGGGACACCACTGGCTGACACATGGCGGCACTGGATTGCATGCCTGATATTTCCGCCGATCCTCCGTTCCTCGTCCGTTCTCGTGGATTTTCGGTTGTCTGCGCTCTCGAGTTTTCCGTCATCTCTGCTCTCGAATGTTCTCGTCCTTCGGCGCAACGGTTTGAAGTGGCGTCGCCAAACGGAACGCTATCTGGGACTCTGGGAACTCCTGGGACCAGATGCAGAGGTGCCGAGGTTGGGACCGGGACTACTGTATCCAATGCACTGGGAACCAGATCTGGACCATCTGGGACACCTGGAACTGGGACCTCTGCAAACTGCCATGATGCAGCTGCTCCAGGTCCAAATACAGGTGATCCAGGTCTTTCTGCAGCTGTACCAGGATCTCTTGCAGGTCCAGTTACAGACGATCTAGGTCCAGTTGCAGCCGCACCTGGATCTCCTTCAGCTAGACCTCGATCATCTGTAACTGGACCTGGAACCGGATGCAGAGGTGCCGCAGTTGGGACCGGGATTACTGTATCAGATGTACTTGGAACCAGATCTGAACCATCTGGGACACCTGGAACCGGAACCTCCACAAACTGCCTTGATGCAGCTGGTGCAGGTCCAAATAAGGACGATCGAGGTCTTCCTGCACCTGTACCAGGATCTCTTGCAGGTCCAGTTACAGATGATCCAGGTCCAGTTACAGCTGCACCTGGACTTATTACAAGTCCAGTTGCAGCTGCACCTGGATCCCTTTTTTGATCATCTGTAACTGGACGTGGAACACCTTCAACCGAGACTGGATTTGCTTCAGCAGACGGAACTACAGCAGCAGCTGCAGGTCGTGCAGCACTGGTAATTGGACCTGTTGTGATGGGCCTATGGTCTGCCGCCGACATGTGTCCTGCTCGTCGAACGTAATGTGCTCCGCTGCTTCTTCCCTCAGACTCGCAAGGGACTCCCGTCGTCAATCCCGTCTTTCGAGCAATGTCGGCATCACCGCCTGCTTCACGCGGACCACGCAAAACATTGTCATCACCTCTGTCATCCATTCCACATGCTATCTTGGTGGAAACGACGCCACTATCACCTTCTGCACGTACTTCAGGAGTAACGCACAGGTCAGATGCACCTGCCTTGTTCTTTATTTGGACGTTTGAGCTGTGTGACTGTTGCAAAGGTAAAACCTTTCCCCAGAGTCCTATTAAAGTGCTTTTTTTCTTGCTAGAAGCCTTTCTGCCGGTGCTTCCATTGCTCGTATCTTCTTGATGGGTCAGCTCAGATGGTCGTTCCTCGATGTTGTTGACGGGTTTCGGGAGCAAAGATGGACCACCGCCGAGACCCATCAAGGATCCCGACGAGGAGGGCATAGTTCCTTGATAGGTATCATTGCGCATTGCTCGACTCCAAAGACACACAAGTGGAAGCATTCCATCGCTTGCTCCTACTTCCTTCATCGACTGACAGATGTCCTCGTCGTCACCACCCCCGGTCCCGTTCGTTCTTTCGACAATTGTCGCATCCTCAACAACCTCCACATTCTCAGCTTGGGTTCGTTCTCTCGACTCCAAAGATGCACTTCTTCTTTCGGTCCGCACTCCCAGTGAGAATTTCTGATCTGGAGGAGAGTTCTCGACAGATTTGGCATCGGAATGAATCGAACGGCCCACGTTCTCCTCATCATCTTCATGCTGTTGCATTTTCCTTATTGTGGTCGAAGTCCGCGGATGACACTCGACAGAAGCTGGTGCTTTAACTGCACTGGTTCTCTGTAGCAGGCGATCGGCAGCAAAATGGTCCTCGGTCGGGGTAGGCGGTCGGGGTAGGATGATGGTTCTCTGTAGCAGGCGATCGGCAGAAATGGTGGAGGTCGGCAGGTACGCCGTCGCTTTGTCCTTATTGCTGTCGTCATCCTGGATGCATTCATCTGATGACCTTATCCTTTCAGTAATCACTTCTTTATCCGGTTTTCGTTCGCACTCCCATAAATCATCGCCTCCAGTCCTGACAAGGCCTTCTTGGTCGGTGTCAGAAGTTACCTTTTCCTCCAATGCTCCGCACACAGACGTGCAATGCTCTCCTCCTGCTGACTGGAGGAGGAGAGCATTCCTGGAAGATTCTCCAAGACCTGTTACACCTGTTGACCGACATGGTGCTGCGAGAACACCTGGCGGTGCTGAGTTGGAGGACTGGTGTAGATCTTCTCCACCCAGTCTCTTATGCTCTCCTTGTGCAATGCTGAAATACGCTCCAGGACCGGTCCAGCCTGTCTGCTGACATGGCACTGGACGAACACCCGATGGTGCTGACTCCCGACACCTGTGTAGCTCTTCTCCACCCTGCCCCTGATTACCCCTTTCTCTCACCTCTGGCCCGTCTTCAACTGTTCCCTCCCTCCCTAGCTCTGGCACAACCCGTGCTGCCAAGTTGGTACTGCTGAAGTATTTGTCCAAGCGCTGACTAAATATCGGTGTCGGTGTCTTCCTGGAGGCACGTCGCTTGGAATCAAACTCCACTCTCTTCGGCGCTCCGAATACCGCTGATGTGCAATTCCCCTCTCCTCTTCCCCCCCTTCCATACCTCCCGCCATTATGTCCACAAGCCATTGCTTTCCTGCTCAGCACCGCATCTGGATCAGGACACTCAAGTTCTGCAGCCCATGCTGAAGCATGACATTCGTGACCAACAAATTGCGATCTCTCAGGGACTTCAACCAATCGATCAGATTGCACAGTTTCTCGAACACCCACTGCCTCCGCACACCGATCTCCACCATTGCGGTTGTTGTGTCGACAGGATTCCGGTCCAAAAGATTCAGCATCCTGCCTGAATCTCTTCTCGCCACCATCAGCTTTCGCGGCACACCTGTCTCGTTTTCCACTGCCGTCGTCGCGCTCGGCATCAGGGTTCCCCACACCGTCATGGGTCTGGTTGCCGGCGTGGTTTACGTTGCTGGTCCAGTTTGCGGCCTGGTTTGTGTTGCACGTCCAGTTGCCAGCGTGGTTTCCTTTGCTGGTCCCTTTTCCGGCCTGGTCTGCAATGCTGGTCCAGTTGTTGGAGTGGTTCGTGTTGCTGGTCCTGTTCCCGACGTAGTTTGCGTTGCTGGTCCAGTTGCTGGCATGGTTTGCATTGCGGGTCCCGCTGCCAGCGTGGTTTACGTCACTGGTCCGGTTGACGGCGTGGTTTGCACCAGTGGTGTCACTTGAGTTGCCGGTGTGGTTTGCATTGCTGGTCCAGTTGCCAGCATGGTTCGGATTGCTGGTCCAGTTGCCGACGTGGTCTGCGTTGCTGGTCCAGTTGCCCGCGTGGTTTGTGCAGGTGGCATCGCTTGAGTTGCCGGCGTGGTTTGCACTGCTCATCCAGTTGCCGGTGTGGTGCACGTTGCCGGCCCTTTCATCACGGACCCTGTCAGCCCAGCTTGCGTATCGTGCACAATCGGCCGCCCTCCCTTCAGAGGCGGCAACCCCTCCCATGTGGCCGTCTGATGCAGTTACATCTCTCCCACAGCTCTCACCATTTGCACTTCCATCATCATCAAGGCACCCCCCGATCCCTTCACTCTCCTCTGTTCTCCTCTTCTTCCGATTCGAGGATTCAACTCGGTCTCCTGCCGCTTCTGGACCACCATCATCTGGGCTGTTGCCTATTCCTATTTTAGCTCCAGTGCGGCTCGCAATATGCGCTGACTCGGAACCAGCGCCTTCGATTCCTTTGTTCAGGTGGGACGGTAGAGAAGCAGAATATGGCTGCAGAAACTTTCTGATTGAAACAGAATTCTGCAGGCAAATCACCCAACAAAAGACCGTACATCACTTCCACAGTTGTGTAGAGTTACACTGTGTGTAGCAAAATAAAAGATACTTTCAACACCCATACATACACATGAAGAGAGAGGCCAATAAGACAGGAATTTACAGGGGTTTTATAAGGGTTTATAGGGGTTTTATAGGGGTGTTGTAGGGGTTTAAACTTTAAAGAGGGTGTTAATCACAACAACATTGTCAGCAAGATCTCAGTGTCATACATCTTCACAGGGCAAGATCACTCAGCCACGTTCGCCGCCGCCTCCTGTTCCTCCTCCTGTTCTTCCTCCTCCTGTTCTTCCTCCTCCTCCTCCTCCTCCTCCTATGTCTCCTAGCCACCTTCTTTTCCTTTGGCTCCAGGTTCTCCTATCCCCTCCATCTTCAAATTCTTGCCCCTACAAAGCTAGAAGCCTAGAAACCTGCACAACCAGTGAAACTTACAACCCCTGTAAAATCCCTATAAAGCCCCTATAAAACTTACAACCCCTGTAAAGCCCTTATAAAGCCCCTATAAAACTTACAACCCCTGTAAAACCTGTGAAACCTGCAATCCCTTCAAAACCTGCAACATCTGTAGATCGCAGAGTCGGATACCTTCACAACTGGGGAAAGGGGGTCAGACAGAAGGGGGAGGAAAGGGGCAAAGTGCCATCGGGAAAGTGGACCGGTGGGCACTGGGGAAAAGGCAGGCGCCGCCGCTCTGATGTGTTCGCCGACGACAAGGTACCATACCTGCGGTGTGCTTGTGATATTGGATGCGGAGAGAAACATCGATCCAATGGCCCATTGCATCTGGTCACTGACAATACGCTTGACGAGCCCTGTAGCGTCAGCTGCAATCTTTTCTCTGCCATACCTCAGAGGGCAGGACCTTGAGATACTCTGGGCATTTGACCAACAGCTGACCTGCACATAGGACAAATACAAAATGTCAGTATTAAAATACTATGAATTATTATATAAGAAAGAAGGAAATGTCAGATATAGCGATGAAGAGTCAACATGGATTTTGGGGGAAAAAACATGGATTTTGGGGATAACTCGTCCTTCCACCGCCTGTTTCTGAGCCCACTCATTCACAGCCTTCTTCATTCCCTGCAACGAACGGGAAAGAAAAACTTACCCCCAATTGCTTCCCAACCCCCCCGCCCGGGTGGCATAAGTTCAAACCTCAATGTTCGAAGTTCAAACCCTGAGAGAATCAGATGGATAAAATAACGTCAGGAGCGAGTTGGAATAACTTATTAAACCATCAGTGTAATAACCCTGTTCAGAAGTAGCCTGGGGCTCAGAACTCAGCCCCAGGAAACACAGATCTGAGTTGATCTGCGCTGGGCTGTGTGACCAAGGCATGCCCAGGCCTGAGTCTGTCGAGTGTGGCTGTGTGACCGAACGCTGCACACAGGAAATTCACGAGTCAAAGTCAACTGTAAAGTCAAAGGTACCGCACCCAGGCCCTTGGTTGGATACACTCACTTGTTGTGCGCAGGTACCCAGACAGCATCCAGG